TGCTTTGTGATGTGTGCATTCATCTCACAGTTAAACTTTTCTTTGGATTCTGCAGTTTGGAAACACTGTTTTTGTGCATTCTGCAAATGGACATTTGGGAACTCATTTAGGCCAATGGTGAAAAACTGAATATCCCAGGACAAAAACTGGAAGGAAGCTCTCTGACAAACCCCTTTGCAATGTGTGCTTTCATCACAGAGAAGCAAACCTTTCTTTTCATTCATCAGTCTGGAAACACTGTTTTTGTAGACTCCGTGAAGGGATATTTGGGAGCACACTGGGGCCTGAGGTGAAGAACAAAACATCTTCAAATAAAAACTCTTAAGGATCTTTCTGAGAAATTTCATTTTGATGTATGCACTCATCTCACAGAGTTAAACCTTTGTTTGGATGTAACAGTTTGGAAAAACTGTTTTTGTCCATTCTGCAAATGGACATTTGAGAGCTCTTTGAGGCCAATGGTGAAAAAGTGAATATCCCAAGATAAAAACAAGAAGGAAGCTATCTGAGAAAACACTTTTGTGATGTGTGCATTCATTTCACAGAGTTCAACCTTTCTTTTCATTCAGCAGTTTGGAAAAACTCATTCTGTAGAATCCGAGAAGGGATATTTGGGAGTGCATTGAGGCCAATGGCGAAGAAGCGAATATCCAAGGATTAAAAGGAAAAGGCAACTATCTGAGAAACTACTTTGTGATGTGTACATTAATTTCGCTGGGTTAATCCTTTCTTTTCATTCAGCAGCTTGGAAACACTGTTTTTGTAGAATCTGCACAGGGATAATTGCGATCTCACTGTGGCCTGTGGTGAAAAAGGAAACATCTTCAGATAAAAAGAAGAAAGAAGCTTTCTGAGAAACTGCTTTGTGCTGTGTGCATTCATCTCACAGAATTATAACTTTCTTTGTATTCAGCAGTTTGAAAAACCTGTTTTTGTCCATTCTGCAAATGGACATTTGGAAACTCATTTAAAACAATGGTGAAATAGCAAACATCCCAGGATAAAAACTAGAAGGAATCTATCTGAGAAGCTGCTTTGTGACATGTGCATTTATCTCACTGAGGCAAACTTTTCTATTCAGTCAGCAGTTTGGGACACTCTTTTTGTAGAATCTGTGAAGGTATATGTGTGAGTACATTGAGGCCTAAGTTGAAAAAGGAAACATCTTCACATAAAAACTAGTAAGAAGCTTTCTGAGAAATTGATTTGTGATGTGTGCACTCATCTCACAGATTGAAACTTTTCTTTGGATTCAGCAGTTTGGAAAGACTGTTTTTGTACATTCTGCAAATAAACATTTTGGAGCTTACTGAGGCCAATGGAAAAAAGTGAATATCCCATGATAAAAACTAGAAGGAAGCCCTCTGAGAAACCAGTTTGTGATGTGCACATTCATCTCATAGAGGTAAATCTCTCTTTTCATTCAGCAGTTTGGAAACATTTTTTTCTGTAGAATCTGCAAAGGGATATTTGGGAGCGATTTGAGGCCTATCTTGAAAAAGGAAACATCTTCAGATAAAAACTAGAAAGAAGCTTTCTGAGAAACCGTTTCGGGATGAGTGTTTTCATCTCACAGAGTTAAACTTTCTTTTGATTCAGCAGTTTGGAAACACTGTTTTTGTAGAATCTGTGAATGGACACTTTGGAGTTCATTTAGACCAATGGTGAAAAAGTGAATATCCCAGCATAAAAACTAGAAGGACGCTAACTGAGAAATCATTTCATGATGTGTGAATTCATCTCACAGAATTAAACCTTTCTTTTCATGAAGCAATTTGAAAACACTGTTTTTAGACAATACAATCTGCAAAGGGGTTTTAGCAAATTGAGGTCTAAGTTGAAAAAGGTAACATCTTCAGATAAAAATTAGAAAGAAGCTTTCTGAGAAACTGCTTTGTGATGTGTGCATTCATGTCACAGTTATACCTTTCTTTGGATTCCGCAGTTTGGAAACACTGTTTTTGTCCATTTTGTGAATGGACATTTGGGAACTCACTGAGGGAAATGGCACAAAAGTAAATATTCCAGGAGAGAAGCTGGAAGAAAGCTCTCTGAGAAACTGCTTCATGATGTGTGCATTTGTCTCACAGAATTAAAACTTTCTTTTTATTCAGCAGTTTGGAAACACTGTTTTTGTGGAATTCATGAATGTATATTTGGGGGCACATTGAGGCCTATGGTGAAAAAGGAAACATCTTAAGATGAAAACTAGAAAGAAGCTTTGTGAGAAACTGCTTTGAGTTTGTGTGCATTCATCACACTGGGTTAAACATTTATTTCAATTCAGCAGTTTGGAAACACTCTTGTGTTCGTTCTGTGAAAGGACATTTGGAGCTGATTGAGGTTAATGGCAAAAAAGTGAACATTCCAGGATAAAAACTAGAAGGAAGCTATCTGAGAAATCGCTTTGTGACGTGTGCATTCATCTCGCAGAGTTAAACCTTTATTTTCATTCAACAGGTTCAAAACTCTGTTTGTGTAGAATCTGAGAAGGGATATTTTGGAGCTCAATGAAGCCTATGGTGAAAAATGAAACATCTTCAGTTGAAAACAAGAAAGAAGCTTTCTGAGAAACTGCTTTGTGATGGGTGCATTCACCTCATAGAATCAAATCTTTCTTTGGATTCAGAGGTTTAGAAACAGTGTTTTTGTCTGTTCTACAAATGGACATTTGGGAGCCAATGAGGCCAATTGCAAAAAAGCAAATATCCCAGGATGAAAAGTAGAAGGAAGGTATGTGAGAACTGCTTTGTGATGTTTGCATTCATCTTACAGAGTTATACCTTTCTTTTCATTCAGCAGTTTGGAAACACTGTATTTGTAAAATCTTCAAAGGGATTTTGGGAGAGTATTGAAGCCTGTGGTGAAAAAAGAAATATCTTTAGGGAAAAACTAGATGGAAGCTTTCTGAAAAACAGCTTTGTGATGTGTGCATTCATCTCAGAGAGGTAAAGCTTTCTTTCAATTGAGCAGTTTGGAAACACTGTTTTCATAGAAACTGTGAAGGGATATTTGGGAGTGCATTTGGGCCTGTGGTGAAAAAGAAAACTTTGTCAGATAAAAACAAGAGAAAAACTTTCTAAGAAACTGCTTTCTGATGTGTGTATTCATCTCACTGAGTTAAATATTTCTTTGGATGTAGCAGTTTGATAACACTGTTTTTGTCCATTCTTCAAATGAACATTTTGGAGCTCATTGAGGCCAATGGTGAAAAAAATATATATATCAGTTTACAAACTAGAAGGAAGTATCTGAGAAACCGCTTTGTGATGTGTGCATTCATCTCACAGACTTAAACGTTTGTTTTCATTTAGCATTTTGAAAACACTGCTTTTGTAGAATCTGTGAAGGGATGTTTCAGAGTGCATTGAGTCCTATGGTGAAAAAGGAAAACCCTTCAGATAAAAACGAGGAAGAACCTTTCTCAGTAACTGCTTTATGATGCGTTAATTCATCTCACAGAGTTAAAGCTCTGTTTGTATTCAGCAGTTTGGAAATACTCTTATTATCCATTCTGTCAATGAACGTTTGGTAACTCAATGAGGTCAATGGTCAAAAAGTGAGTATCACAGGATAAAAACTGGAACATAATATCAGAGAAGCAACTTTGTGATGTGTGCATTTTTCACACAGAGTTAAACATTTCCTTGGATTCAGCACTTTGGAAACCCTGTTTTTGTCCATTCTGCAAAAGGACATTTCGGAGCTCATATAGAACAATGGTGAAAAGAGAATATCCCAGGATAAAAACTAGAAGAAAACTATCAGAGAAACCACTTTGTGATGTGTGAATTCATCACACATATTTAAACATTTCCTTGAATTCAGCAGTTTGGAAACTGTTTTTGTAGAATCAGTAAAGGGATATTTGGGAGTGCATTGAGGTCTATGGATAAAATTGAATCATCTTCAGATTAAAAACAAGACAGAAGATTTCTGAGAAACTGCTTTTTGAAGTGTTCATTCATTTCACAGAGTTAAACCTTTCTTTGCATTCAGAATTTTGTGAATTTTTTTTTTTTTTTTTTTGGTCCATCATGTGAATGGACATTTGGGAGCTCACTGAGGCCAAAGGTGAAAAAGCAAAGGTCCCAGGATTAAAAACTAGAAGGAAGCTATCTGAGAAACTGCTTGTGATGTGTGCATTCATCAAACAGTGATATACCATTCTTTTTATTCAACAGTTTGGAAACACTGTTTTTGTATAATCTGTGAAGGGGTATTTGGGAGCGCACTGAGGAAGAAGGTGAAAAAGGAATGTCTTCAGATAAAAACAAGAAAGAAGCTTTCTGAGAAACTGCTTTGTGATGTGTGCATTCATCTCACAGAGGTAAACATTTCATTGGATTCAGCAGTTTGGAAACACTGTTTTTCTCCATTCTGCGAATGGACATTTGGGAATTCATTGAGGCCAACGGCAGAAAAGCTAATAGCCCAGGATAAAAAACGAAGGAAGCAATCTGAGAATCCGTATGTGATGTGTGCAGTCATCTCACAGAATTAAAATTTTATTTGACTCAGCAGTTCGGAAACAGTATTTTGGGATAATCTGTGAAGGGATAATTCAGAGAGCATTGAAGCCTATGGTTAAATAGGAAACATCTTCAGAAGAAAACCAGAAAGAAGCTTTCTTGGAAACTGCTTTGTGATGTGTGCATTCATCTCACAGAGTTAAACCTTTCTGTGGATTCAGCAGTTTGGAAAAACAGTTTTTGTCCAACTGCGAATGGACATTTGGTAGCTCATTGAGGCCAATGGCAAAAAATTGAATATTCCAGGATAAAAACTAGAGGGGAGCTATCTGCAAATCCAATTTGTAATGTGAGCATTCCTCTCGCCAAGTTACACCTTTATTTTCTTCTTTCTGTTTACATAACTTTATTACTTTATATATTTAATTAAAATGAGACTTTTTAAAAGAATAGCATAACTCTCTTTGTAATATGATTGAAATTATTTGTAGAAGTTAAAATATTGTTATGTCTATGTCATGTCTAGATATGGACATGTATGATATAGCAGCCTATGAAGTAAAACAACAAAATTGATTACACTTCATTTGAAAAATAAGTTTTTAGTGCAAAAAACCTAATTATTTTTTCACATAAATAGATATCATTAGAAAACTGTAACATTGTTGAGAATATTTTGATGAAATAAATTAGAACAAAATTTATTCCCAGATAACACTGATTTGTGTAGTGAGCATAAAATTTTAAACTTGCACCTGGAAACTCAAAATTCAATGACTGAAGATTTTTCTACATGTAGTATTAAAATTCCAAAAAAAATGCTAACCAAAATTATTAAGATGATAATTTAAAAATTTTTTTTATCTCTACAAAGTCACAAGTGGATTTAGGATGTTAAATGTTATCTACTCTATTTCTTTCTAGTTTTAACAAAAACTAGACCTTTTATCTCTGTTTCTATGTTATATTTTACAATATGACTTTAAAAATGTGTTTCAAAGCAATTTTCCTGTGCCTTTAATATTGACTTTATATTTGACCAAGTAAAATACACATGTTGGGAAAATAGCTTTGTACCATTAAAGATTAAGAAGCAAGGTTTAGAAGAGCACTTGGTCTTTTACATTTTAGTTGCATACCAAAAGCACCGGAAATTATTTAGAACACTGATTAGTTCATTCAAATACAAAATATATTCAAATTATCTCAATTTTAATTTTGAGTCTTTTTTTCTGATGGAAAATTTCAAGCATTGGATTTTAAAGCAGTCATTTCTGCTTCAGATTTAATTTCTAAAAAAATATTTTTATTGACTTAAAAGATAAGTATTATACCCCTACATCACTTCTAAGGGAAGACTAGATTGTTTTAGAATTAGAAAATGAAAGACTAATATAATATATTCTCCCTCTCGAAAAGTAGAAGGATTTACTATTTTAAATTTAGATATTTTAATGGGTAGGCTTTGGTTTTTTGATACAACTTTTTCCATTTTTACTATACTTTAAGTTTTCGGATACAAGTGCACAACATGCAGGTTTGTTACATATGTACACATGTGACATGTTGGTGTGCTGCACCCATTAACTCGTCATTTACATTAGGTATATCTCCTAGTGCTATTCGTCCCCCCTCCCCCCACCCCACAACAGGCCTGGGTTTGTGATATTCCCCTTCCTGTGTCCAAGTGCTATCATTGTTCATTTACCACCTATGAGTGAGAACATGCGGTACTTGGTTTTTTGGCCTTGCGATAGTTTACTGAGAATGATGGTTTCCAGCAGCATCCATGTCCCTACAGAGGACATGAACTCATCCACTGTTATGGTTGCATAGTATTTCATGGTGTATATGTGCCACATTTTCTTAATACAGTCTATCATTGATGGACATTTGGGTTGGTTCCAAGTCTTTGCTATTGTGATTAGTGCCGCAGTAAACATACATATGTATGTGTCTTTATAGCAGCATGATTTATAATCCTCTGGGTATATACCCAGTAATGGGATGGCTGTGTCAAATGGTATTTCTGGTTCTAGATCCTTGGGGAATTGCCCCACTGTCTTCCACAGTGGTGGAACTAGTTTACATTCCCACCAACAGTGTAAAAGTGTTCGTATTTCTCCACATCCTTTCCAGCATGCACTTTGAAAACTGGCAAAAGACGGGGATGCCCTCTCTCACCACTCTTATTCAACATAGTATTGGAAATTCTGGCCAGGGCAATCAGGCAGGGGAAAGAAATAAAGGATATTCAATTAGGAAAAGAGGAAGTCAAATTGTCCCTGTTTGCAGATGACATGATTGTATATTTGGAAAACCCCATCATCTCAGCCCAAAATCTCCCTAAGCTGATAAGTAACTTCAGCAAAGTTTCAGGATACAAAATCAATGTGCAAAACTCACAAACATTTCTCTACACCAATAACAGACAAACAGAGAACGAAATCATGCGTGAACTCCCATTCACAATTGCTTCAAAGAGAATAAAATACCTAGGAATCCAACTTGCAAGGGATGTGATGGATCTCTTCAAGGAGAACTGCAAACCGTTGCTCAATGAAATAAAAGAGGACACAAGCAAATATAAGGACATTCCATGCTCATGGATAGGAAGAATCAACATGAAAATCTCCATATGGCCCAAGGTAATTTATAGATTTAATGCCATCCCCATCAAGCTACCAATGACTTTCTTCACAGAATTGGGGAACACTACTTTAAAGTTCATATGGAACCAAAAGAGAGCCCTCATTGCCAAGACAATCCTACATCAAAGGAACAAAGCTGGAGGAATCACACTACCTGACGTCAAATTATACTAAAAGGCTACAGTAATGAAAACACCATGGTACTGGTACCAAAACAGAGACATAGACCAGTGGAACAGAACAGAGCCCTCAGAAATAATACCACACATCTACAACAATCTGATCTTTGATAAACCTGACAAAAATAAGAAATGGGGAAAGGATTCTCTATTTAATAAATGTTGCTGGGAAAACTGGTTAGCCATATGTAGAGCACTGAAACTGGATCCCTCATACAAAAATTAATTCAAGTTGGATTAAATACTTAATTTTTGACCTAAAACCATAAACACCCTAGAAGAAAACCTAGGCAATAGCATTCAGGGCATAGGCATGGACAAGGACATCATGTCTAAAACACCAAAACCAATAGCAACAAAAGTCAAAGTTGAGAAATTGGGTCCAATTAAACTAAAGGTCTTCTGCACAGCAAAAGAAACTGTCATCAGAGTGAACTGGCTACCTACAGAATGGGAAAACTGTTTTTGCAATCTACTCATCCGAAAAATGGTTAACATCAAGAATCTACAAAGAACTCAAACAAATCTACAAGAAAAAACAAACAAACCCATTGAAAAGTGGGTGAGGGGTGTGAACAGATACTTCTTAAAAGAAGACGTTTATGCAACCAACAGGCACATAAAAAATGCTCATCATCACTGGCCATCAGAGAAATAAAAAACACAATGAGATATATTCTCACACAAGTTATAATAGTGATCACTAAAAACATAAAGGAAAGTTTTCTTATCATTCAGCAATTTGGAAACACTGTTCTTGTAGAATCTGTGATAGGATATTTGGGAGTGCCTTGAGCCCTATGGTGAAAAAGGAAACATCTTCATGTAATAGAGAGAAAGAAGCTTTCTGAGAAATAGCTTTGTGATGTGTCCATTCATTTTGAAGAGTCAAAACTTCCTTTTCAAACAGCACTTTGGAAACACTGTTATTGCAGAACCTGCATAGGGACATTTGGAAGCACATTGAGGCCTATTTTGAAAAAGGAAATATCTCAAATCAAACTAGAAAGAAAGCTTCTGAGAAACTGTTTTGTGAGATGTTCCTTCACCTCACAGGGTTAAACTTTTCTTTGGACTCAGCAGCTTGGAAACACTGTTTTTGTCCATTCTGTGAATAGACTTTTGGGAGCTCACTGAAACCAAAGGTGAAAAAGCAAATATCTCAGGTTAAAAACTAGAAGGAAGTTGTCTGAGAAACAGCTAGCTCTGCGATGTGGGTCTTCATCTTGCAGAGGTAAACCTTTCTTTTCTTTCAGCAGTTTGGAAACACTGATTTTGAAGAATCTGTGAAGGGATATTTGGGAGTGCATTGAGGCCTATGGTGAAAAAGGAAACATCTTCAGATAAAAACTAGAAAGAAGCTTCCTGAGACACTGTTTTGTGATGTGTGCATTCATCTCACAGAGTTAAAGCTTTCTTTAGATTCAGCAGTTTTGAAACATTGTTTTTCTCCATTCTGCAAATGGACATTTCAGAGCTCAATGAGGCCAATGGCAAAAAAGTGAATATCCCAGGATAAAAACTAGAAGTAAGTTATCTGAGAAATCTCTTTGCAAAGTGTGCATTTGTCTCACAGAGTCAAACCTCCCTTTTCATTCAGCAGTTTGGAGACACTGTTTTGGTAGAATCTGCAAAGGGATATTTGGGAGCAAAAGGAGGCCTATTGTGAAAGAGAAAATATCTTCAAAGAAAAACTAGAAAGAAGCTTTCTGAGAAAATGCGTTGTGATGTGTACACGCATCTCACAGGGTTAAAACTTTCGTTGGATTCAGCAGTTTGCAAACACTGTTTTCACAGAACCTCTGAAGGAATATTTAGGTGTGCGTTGAGACCAATGGTGAAAAAGGACATAAATTCAAATACAAACTGGAAGGAAGCTGTCAGATAACTGCTTTTTGATGTGTGTATTCATCTCAGAGAGTTAAACTTTTCTTTGGATTCAACATTTTGGAAACAATATTTTCATTCATTCTGCACATGGACATTTGGGAGATATTTGAGGCCATCTGCAATAAAGTGAATATCCCAGTGTAAAAACTAGGAGGAAGCTACCTGAGAAACTGCTTTGTGATGTGTACATTCATCTCATAGAATTAAACACTTCCTCTCATTCAGCATGTTGGAAAAACTGTTTTCTGAGAATCTGCAAAGTGATATTTTGGAATGCATTCAGCCATATGGAAAAAAAGAAACATATTTAGATGAAAACTAGAAAGAAGCTTTGTGAGAAACTGCCTTGGGATGTGTGCATTCCCCTCATGGAGTCAAATCTTTCTTTGAATTCAGCAGTTTGGAAACACTGTTTTGGTGTATTCTGCAAATGGACATTTGAGAGCTCAGTGAAGCCAATGGCGAAAAAGTAAAAATCCCAAGATAAAAGCTAGAAGGAAGCTTTCTGAGATACCACTTTGTGATGTGTGCACACATCTCTCAGAGTTAAACCTGTTTTTTCATTCAGTAGTTTGGAAACAGTGTTTTTGTAGAATCTGCGAATTGATATTTTAGAATACACTGAGGCCTATGGTGAAAAAGGAAACATTTTCAGATAAAAATTAGAAATAAGCTTTCTGAGAAACCGTTTTGTGATGTGTGCATTCATCTCACAGAGTTAAACCATTCTTTTGCTACAGTTTTGAAACACTGTCTTTCTTCAATCTGCCAATGGACATTTGGGAGTTCACTGAGGCCAATGGCAAAAAACAAATATCCCAGGATAAAAACTAAAAGA